CGAGCGGCGCTGGCGGCTGTAAGCCCGGGGGGGCCGGGGAGGGAACCCGCCGGAGGGGGAGGCGGGAGAGCGGCGGAGGCCCTCACGATACCCTCACGATACCCTCACGATACCCGGGGGGCGGCGCGGGGGGAAGTGGTGGCGTTGCTCAGTTCTTTCGGTTCCGCAGCCACCGAGTCTCTAGCCCGCCGCTTCCCATTTCTTGTACGTCGCAGCCCTGACAATCTTCGTGTCCCCTCACTGACAGTGCCGGGTACCGGACCGGCCTTTCTCGTGTGTTTTGTTTTGTTGGGGCTCTAGTAACCCTAGCGTTGCTTGCACAAGTTTTACGTAGGGAGCTCGGAGATGTAAGGCATCTAAATTCTTGGAGGTAACCTAAAATCTTGATTCTTACCCAGCTTTATAGCTCGGCCTGCAAAGTCTGTGGGCATCACACGTGACTGGCCTTTCCAAAATTTAAGTTTTTCCCCGATGGAAGCCAACTGAGGAGCAGTAAGTGTAACAAAAACTTGCTGGAAGAGTGTAGGCACTCACCATTTGGCTCTTTGTAGTGTCAAGGACAGTGGAGAGCTTAAGCTAAAACTATGTCAGTGTGTGCTACGTCTACTGCATGACCTAATGATTACCTAAAACTTTGAAGATTGGAAATTCAGCAAATATTCATATTAAGCAATAGAGAGCCTAAAAACTTCACACAGGGGCTCACGCTAAGGCTCAGTATAACTTGTTACAAAGATCTCCTTCTTGGTTGTATCTTTCTGTTTCTTTCTATTCTAGATAAACATCTGATGAAAGAAGATGATAGAAAGACAGTTGTAAGTATTTGTGTTTTGTTCAGAAAACTCTAAAACGTGCAACCTCTTATTATACTCTAATCTGAGCATGTGTATACTGGCCGCCGTTCGACGTGGCTGTTGTGCGGCGTGCTGTCCGGGCGGTGCGTCCCTCACTGGGTCTGGCTCAGTGCAGACCCACGCTTCCCTGGTTCTGGAAATTGCACTCAAGTCGTGAGGGGCTGTGCAAGCACACGGTGGTGTGTAGGGACATGTGTCAGTTTGGGGTCAGCGTTGCACGTGTAGCATTGCAGTTGCCCTGTACAGTGAGGATTTGGAGAGCCTGTCCCAGCAAGTGAGAAATCCTACGTGGTGTGTCTACCCATAGGTGAGGCGTCCACAGTCACTGTGAGTGGGCCCAGCCTTATATACTAGAGATTGGCAGCCAGAATAACCAGCACCTTTGTTTTGAGCAGAAAATTTCTGGTTTCACTCTCCTGTTGGATTCCACCCAAAGCCTGACCAGAGCTTTGGGGTGGGGGCAACCAGGGAGCCAAGGGAGTTTCTAACAAGGCCGAATACTTGGGTTCTCAGCCTTCAGCAAGGCTGAGAAAGGAAAGTTGGATACATTGTCTTGGCCTTTCATCCTCACTACTGGTTATATTCTGTCTCAGCTGCACCTTTCACTAGTGAGCTTACATATTTTGGTAATGACCACGTACTAAGTTAGCAGCTTTGGCTCAAGGCCTGTTGTTCAGGCTTCAGTGTATCAATGCTTTAACACTTTTTACATCAGCATGAGCAGGTTGTTCTAACTTAGTACAATAACCTACTAGCACAGTTATCAGTTATAAAATATACAGGATTCATCTACAGGTCAACTCTGGCTTGGGCCTGTTGTCCAAGCCTTAGCACTTCAGCAGCTGTGCGGGGGTACCGGATGGAAAGGCTGCCCCGTGCCTGGGGAAGAGACAGTTGGTATATGTATGTCAGGGACAGAAAAAGTGGTCTGCAGGGAATCACAAAATCCAAACTGACCCCCAGTGTCTTTCTATAAAATAGTCTATTTACATTATAAGGAAACAGTATACTTGATATGGAATGAGTGTATTTTTACATAAGCAGTTTACTACCATGTGATAACATGTTTTTTAAAGGTGATACTGTTTTTCATCAGATATGTATCGAGGGGAACATTGCAAGTGGAAAAACAACATGCCTGGATTATTTTGCACAAACCACCAGCATTGAGGTACTGGATGTACATTTCTTTGTCTTTATTTTACATCACTATAAGCAGTTGCTTGTGTTGACAAAACTGAGCCTTAACTTAGAAGTGTTTGTCCTTCCTTAGGCTAAGGAGAAAGGAGCAGCAGGTTGTGAGCCAGGGCACTTACTGGCACACCTCCAGCTCCTCCAACTATTTATACTGAAATTGTAGAAGAGAAATTTAGATCATATGTGGTAGAGTACTGGATGCAAAAATATCAGTAAGGCCCGTGGGTTAGAGTTTGTACCTCTGCAAAGTAACAGCAGCCCCCGTGGGTTGGGCATGTTTGGGCATGTGTGTTTGCTGTTTCATGTCGCTTAAATCTTAGTTCTGTCTTGTAGTCAGCAAACTAAAGAGAAAGAATTAATCATGTAAAGATACTGATGTCATGTAAGCGAGATCCCAGTACATGGATGGCTTCTTTTAAAAAGTGAAAAATCTGTTAGAATTGTTTCTGGAGATTTTTTTAGACTGGTATGGTATTTGATTTCATATTTCTTAGAACAAGATTGGGGGAAGGGCAGACAATGTATTTTAAACAAAATCAAGATCAGACCTCAGTGAGCAATTACTTTTGTGCACATCAGATATTGATGCTTTTCCTGGCAGACCTGGGAACACATTTGATAAGTCTTAGGATTCCTCACAGAAATGTTGGATTGCCAGATGTTTTTTTTTAATTTAACAGGAATGATCCTTATGGAATAAAAAAGTGTTAACCCAAAGGATAGCAAACTTTAACTTGTATACAGTGCAACATTTTTTAAAAAGCTAGTTAACTTCCCAGGCTTATCAGGTTCTCTTAGGCCTGGCTCTACAGTGCGGTTGGAGTTTTAGATGCTGTTTGAACCAGGTAGGTCTCTTGTGATATCACCTATTCAGAGTAGAGGCTTTTCTGATTAATTTTGTAAAAGTTTTGAATACATTTTTTTTGTTAAATCACAAAAATAAAATGAAAAGTAAGATAGTAGTCTGATCCTCTTTGCCTCTGCTGACAAGTGCTACTCTCTGAGAAATTAATTTGTGAGGGAATGAGCAGGTCATTGAAATGCAATCAGTACTCAGCTAAGCCATTCTTTCCCTTACATGGTATGATTTTGTCTCGAAAAAGGGAAATTATATCCAGGCTTGTTAGGTAATGAATCCAGTGTTTTATTTTCGTGGTTTGAAAACACTAAAAAGATACTGTCTAATGATATTTCTCTATTCTTCAGCAGTGTTCATTATTACCTTCTGTATTACAGGATTCAGTGCTGTTTTTTGAAGAGGGATGAGTATAAATCCTAAATACTCTTGACTTACTGAATGAGTATTCATTAAAAATAGTTGCAGACTTGTAGGGTCAAATTAAGTACTTTGAATCTAAACATATTTAACGTGGAGTAATTCTTTTTAACAAGGTTTTGACAGAACCAGTGAGTAAGTGGAGGAATGTTCGTGGTCACAATATCCTGGTAAGTGGCAGAAATTGTATCTACAACTACAATTACTGTTCTTTTAGAAAGACGTACATGAGGACTTCTTACTAATTAGCAAAACTGTTACAAAAGCGGTCATAATCTCACACAGCAAAAAATAAAGCTCCGTAATGCAAAAGATCTTTTACTGTGATTAAGATGTGCAGGTAATAGAAACATTGCATATAAAATGTGGTTTTGGCAAGGGCTGGGTCTTTTTGTTGGGTGTGAAAGGTAAGCCCTGAGTTGATTCTAAATTCACTTATGCTTATTTCGAAGAAGGGAAGGTCACTCAGAAAGCAAGGGCTTGATGTTGTTTGTCTACTGAAGATAAGGAAAATTCAGTCCTGTGAGGCCTTGAGAGCTTCTCTTGTCTTTTGGGAAGTCAGTGTCTTGCAGCCGTTCCCTGCATGTATGTCCTTTTGTCACAGCGATGCCCAGAGACAGCAGTCAGAGCCCTGACTACATCTGCAGATATGCTTTTGCTGGCATGGTTGAAGTGGTTTCTGATGTCAGTCTTCACTGCTTGTGTGATCACCTCCATTGCAAAAACCTCCCTGCTGCCTGAGATGGGGATCTCTGCTCAAGCTCAGGTGGAATTTGCTGTCAACACGGCAATGTGGATACACCCCAAACCACACGTGCCCAAACATGTGTTTGATACCATTACTGCTACCATAGGTCCTCTGCAAAAGTAAATTCTCCCTACTAGGAGTTGCTGATGCTTTATTTTTTTATTATTAATAAAGGTATGGGGCGTGCTTGTCTGTGTTGCATATCATCACAGCAATCTTTGCACTTCAGAATACTTTCTCATTCTGATCTTGGGCAGGAAGAAAAGGAGGAGATCAGATCTGCAGACTGAAGCCACATTGCTGCCTTAAAGTTTGTGACCTCAGCAAATACACACTGAATGATGTTTTATTTTGAGTCAGATCTTTTCTCTGCTTTGCAGGACAGACTGTTGCTTTTAAGTGTATGTGTGTGTGTAATCGCAGCAGAATGGAAGATGAGAACTACTTTGAGGATCCTTTGGGTAGAACTGTTCTCTGTGTTAAAAGATGCCTTGTCTGAGGCCCAGAACATACTTACTGGAATCATATATGCGTTTCTGGATTCTGCATTTAGGGACTGGGTATACTGAGAGTCTGTCAGTGCCCCAAAACAGAGTAGCAGATAAGGGTTTTTTATTTACTAAATATATTTGAACTGTTTCAAATGAGCTGTGCCTTGGTCCTGACTGTTTCAGGTGCAGAGTAACTAATTCCTGTTGACTTCAGCGAGCATTCCAAATGCCCCACTTAGTGTCTCTTAAAGACCAGGACAGCAATTCTTCCATCTGCATTGTGGAAAGCAAATGATCACTTAATTCTTGTCAGGCGCAGTGTCAGCTGTTTTAGTGCACTTCTTTTAGCAATTCTGTTGTAGTGCAAAAGCTTGCTAAATACCCAACTTCCCTTTTTTTGCTGTTTGACCTAACATAAATGTCTGTCTTGCTTCCATCTCTGACCCCAGGGCTTAATGTACCAAGATGCATCAAGATGGGGGATAACATTACAGACTTACATACAGCTGACAATGTTGGAGCAGCATACCAGACCAATGGTAAGTAAACATTTTTCTTTTAATTTAAAAAAGAATTAGATGCAGTTATGAGTAATAAATATTTTTAACCTTGTATCCAGAAGTTAAGATGCTGTTTGCATTCTTTGTTCCTGCAGTGAGTATGAATTTTTATGGTGCAAAGACACTGTTGAAACACTCAACACGTACTCTGAGCGCGAAACATCTGCCTCCTACCTGCTCAGAACTTTTACTTCCCCAAACTAATACTGCTGATTTGGCACCACCCTTATGAGTTAGACTTGCACAAATCTCTTCATCATCGCACGTCAGTGACTTGTCTGTAATTGGTGTCTTTATAAATTTAGCTATGTCAAATCCTTGGCAAACATTAAGTAATCTTAAAGGTAGTGTCAGTATTTGTTCTACTGCTCCATGCTGTCTGGCACAGATTTAGCCATTACTCCTCGTGTTTATCCAAAATACCACCACTAAAATTTTCTATTCCTTTTTTGAGATGGTCTGCAACATTTTTCTCTTGTAATGTTTTCTTTTTCTATATTGATTCACACATTCCACCTTTTTATCAAGATCTGATAACTTGACAGAGATCACTTCTCTTTCCTACAAACACCTTTTCTTACATTCTGTGCCAAATCTTTCATTCCCTGATCACAAGATCTGATCTTAGGTGGCACGCTTACGTCTTAATGGTTGTTCTTGCATTACATTTTCTGAGTGTGTCAGGGCAAAATTTTGAAAGTATGGCATATGTAGTGATACTGCACATACAAGCTTTTGGAAGAGGTGTTCTTCCAAGGTAATAGAAATCTCAGTCTGTTGCAGAAGAAGTTCATTCAGAAATTCCTGAGGCTTGTCCTGTATTTCAGTCTGAGCTTTGCTGTCATTTGCACTTGAGCCTGGCTGGAGCAATTGTTGCTTCTGTGGTCATTAACGTGCAGCATACCTGGTTGGGAAGAGCTCTGCTAGGGTTGCCTTGCTCTGCAGGGGCCAGAGAGTGTCCAGTGTCTCTCTTCTCCCAAATGAAGCACTGTTTGAGCACATGCAAGACTGGATAAGGCCAGTGCTTTGTCACTTGTAATTATTTCTTTTAAAAGTTCTGTTTTGTTGTTAGAGTTTTTCTGATGTTAGGCCTGTGCTGTTGACACAGTAACACACCTGAAGGTGGCAACAATTCAGGTAGCAATAGTTCCTATTGCTCTGCAAATCCTAAATGGATTGCTGCTTTTTTGTAGCCCTAGTTAGCTTCAGCTGCTCATTGAATGCTTCTGCAGTTACCTTTGAAACTTGCATATGAATAACAATTATGTCAGTGTTCAGTAGTGCAGACCATAAGTAAGATTAGGAGTACTTGTTTTTTGTGGTTCCCACCCTCCCAGTAAATTTATTTATCACAACATCTGGAAGAACAAAAAGTGTTATGAATTTCATAATGTGAAGGACATGATGTGTAAATATGAGCTTGAAAAGAAACAAGCATGCTGAAAAATTCAAACTAAGTCAGTGACTGACAAGTTTTATTTTGTAGATTTCCCCCATAAGAATGATGGAGCGATCGATTCACAGTGCAAAATACATTTTTGTAGAAAATTTGTATCGAAGGTATGGTATATAGTTTTCTAAATTACTTTCTTGGCTTAATTAGATTACAAAAATATATATATAATCGACTGGTGATTTCCTTGGTACTTTTCATTGAAGAAGTCTGTTGGCTCTGTCAGTGGCAGTGTGTGTTGTATGGGATGTGCTGCCCACTGGCAGAATAAAACCTGTAGGATGTGGTCCAGGCAAGAGCCTTTTCCAGAAGTGCTCTTGTGTAATTAGAGCATGTTATTATTTAGAACACCATCTATTTAAGTTATCTGCTCTCCAGCTGAATACAAAGTCTTGTTTAAATCAAAGCAAACGCATACTGAGCAGGTAGAAAACCAGGAGGACATAAAGCATGCCAGTGTAGGAGGCAGAGTGCTGGACAGTGTTGTCCAGCCTAGCAGCAGGAATTGGCATTCCTTGGAAGCAGGAACTCGAGTGACAAGCAGGAACTTGTGTCATCTGCTGTTGCTTACAATCAGGATTCATAGGATCAGAACAGACTGCAAACCTTGGTAGGCTAGTGAGGAAAGAAACAACAAGAGCTGTTTGTCTCTAAATGTCGCTTTCTGAATCGGGTCCCTGCCCCCAGGTGTGCTGAGGCTGGAGGCAGAGCAGTCAGCCCGAACCTGGGTCTTTGTTCTGGGGGATCTGGCCTGAAACAGAAGCAGCATTTATTACCTGGCTGATGTGTAACTCGCCCCTCCCATAATAACTGAAATAGCGCAGTAATCGGCACTGATTTGGGTGGGTTTGTTTTGTTTTTTGTTTAGAATGCTGACCTGTTGAGAAGTGTTTGTAACAGATTGTTGTTCTGCTGGATTTCTCAGTGGTCTTAAGGGAAAAAAACAGTTTCTTGCCCCTGTCTGCAGGGAGAATGGCTGCATGCCACAAGATGGCATCCGTGCTACACGAGCTCCTAGTCTGTTACTGGAACTGCTTTGAAAGTTGAGAGAGACACAGTAAGATGGGAGGCAAACAGAAAGACGTTATTTATCCCTGTCTGTATACAATACAAATGTACTGGAATGTCTTTCTCATTTTTAATTACTGATTTTTTATTTTTTTTTATTGTAGACAAACTGCTTTTGTCCCAAAGACTGAGAACTTTGTTGCTATGAGGCTAATTCTGTTTGTGTCAACTCTATGTATTAATTTTGTAATAACATTTTTAAGGGCATCTAAGATGTTTTGTGCCTTCAGCTCTTTTTAATGGTGGATGGAAGGCATTTGCTTTGTTTTGTTCCAGCAAGCTAGAAGCCAGCTGGTGCTACCAATAGCAAACCAAATTATGATATAAGGGTGTATAAAAGGATTGTAAATCGAACAAAAATTTCGACTACATGAGAATAGCCATTTTGAGTCACATGAAAAAAAGAAAGTAAATCTGTGCTCCCTCATATCCTGACTCCAGTGGTGGCCAAAAGTACTTTAAAAGAGAGTATCCTCTTAAGAACAGGGTAAGCATGTATGATAATTTCTGATTATATCCAGTAACTTACAGTTCGGGGACTTTCTTATTCAGCAGTGATTTTTCCGTAGTAACCCACACGGAATTTATTTTCCATGAACCTGTCCAGGTTCCCCCCAAGCTCCTGTAAACCTTTAGTTTCCAGGAGGTCCTGTGGCAAGCAGTTCTATAGCTTTGCTCCATGTTTTTTGATCACTGCCCTATCCTATGTGTCATAGTTCTTTAAAGACCATCTAGCCTTGTCTCAAAAACTAATACTTCTGTGTACAGGAAGGAAAACAGGATACAAAAAACCCCAGGATGATAATGGGAGTATGGAGATAGTGATAATAGAAACAGTCCATTTCAGAGTTCTGAAAGCATGTGAAGTTTCATGCTAGGAGAAAATATTGTACTGTAGAGGCAGTACCCCTGTGACTTAGAGCCCATATTAGGGGGTAGGGAAAGTCATCTTAGGAACTGCAGGCTTGTTCATCTGCCTCAGTATTTAGCACAGCTTCAGAACAAATGACAGAAGGAGAGAATAATTCAAGCTTTGGACAAAAATGTGTCAGCCACCAACAACACAGCATGTTAGACTTATCTGGTAATTGTGTTTTGTAATGTCCTCCTCCACCTGAACAAAGGCATTCTTACCAGTCTGAACCAAAGTTACATATTTGTGAAGGAGGTCTGGGGAGACTTCCATGAGTGGTTATTCATTAAGTGCAGAAGCTGGTGTTGTAATGTGATGGGAAATCCCATTGAAGTGAGATATGGAAAGGGGATGTGTCAGCCTGGAAGGGAGTTACTCATGTTGGTTCACCCTTTGGATTGATGCTCTGGTACACAGGGTGAGAGTATGCTAATAAATTCTATCATTCAATTGAACTGACAACAAATTTCAACTTTAAAATGAAAGATTGTGAGTCAAAAAGCAGAATCTATATTTATTTGTAGATAAATAAAAATTGGTCACAAAATAATGCTAGTATTGAGTAGTCCAGAGAAGAGTTAATGTAACTCTTGGAACTATCTGGCAAAGGGCTTTCAGGAGAGGGGGATGGAAATATTGGTGCTTTCGTACACAGCTTTTATGAGACCTTTTTTAACATTACTTTTTACACTTCTAACTGCTCATTCACGATCTATGAACGAAAACTGAAACAGATAGGAAGCTGAGATACTGGCATGATCAAAAGAATGGAAAGCCTGTTTAAAGAGGCAAAACCAGCTTGACATACTTGTATAGAAAAGTTGTAAGAATACACTCGTCACCTATGGGCACAGTGGGTGCAAACACAAAATGTGAGTTACTGAAATCGCAGGACTATAGTAACAAAAGAATAATTAGATACAAAAATGCTGTGGATAAACTAAAGGCTAAAAATGAGAAGATGGTGTCTGAAGCATCAGGGGAACAAAGAGAAAATAGAAACTTTACACTTGATACTTTTATGTAGAAGGATAATAGTGCCCTGTGGCAGGGGAAAGGCCTTATAACTTAAAACAATTGCTTCCCATGCTGTGGGTTTTTTTATTCAGCTGCTCCATGAAAATTTTAAAAACCATTCTGTGACTAAACGGACTTTGCAAAGGAAAATTCGTTTGTATCCTCCAGAGGCTTTTTCTTTCCTTGTTACTATTTCCTAGAAGGAATCTCCTGTCTCTGTAGGGGAGTGGTCCTAATTCTTGTGTAGGTTAGTCAGCATGCAAAAATCATGGAGAAAACAGGAGAGGTTGCCCATTGCAGGAAGTGAATTACACCTGTCTGGAAGACAAAACTGACCTGGCATATCTTTAAATTTTGCTGAAAATAAAAATGTTATCAAAAACACCCCTCAAGCTATTCAACAGGTATCGTCAGCAAAGGGATTGTTAAATAGCTATATGGAAGGCATTTTCCCATTAAAAGTATGTAAAAATGAATTAGAAGTTTTTTATTCAACGTAAGACTTGGACTGAATGGGGTAAGCATGCTGCAAAGAGCAGAGGTTATTTTCTGCTTTCTTTTCTGTAAAAGAAGGTATTGCTTAGGGTCCCAGTCTTAAAAGAGGGAGAAGAATCTCTTGTTATCTCTAGTCTACACAAGCTCTTCTCCTTTAGGAGAATAATTAGTTTAAGCAGGGGATAAAGAGCTGTGGGAACATCAGGAATACCAGCTCTTCTTTGATCCAGTGTCACTCAGTATTTGTGTTTTGGCTTTGCAGGCTTTTTCCCAGAGAGAGAACTAGAGTAAGATTTACGAGGATGGGGAAGGCTTAAATTGTGAGCAATTGCTGTGAGCTTCTCTGGCATGCAGAGATATGCATGAATGTCCAAGTTCTTACTGTGATTGCACATCTGAGTTAATCATTGAAAGACATGCTTACGTTAGGTATAAAACTGTAGAATATAAAATGCGTGCACGTGAGTATGCGTGATATGTCACAGGGTAAGCACTAGCAATTCACTTTGTTCCATTTGAATTCATAGTTATTTATGATACAAAGCTTACCCCATTCATGTTTAACTTTTGCACTAAAAGCTTTACTTGATACAAGTCAAATGTCAGCAAACTTTGGAAATGAAAATGCCCTTTTGTGCCTTTTACATTACCTGCATCTTTATGGATCTTGAGCCTGATGGAGAATCCTCACAGGATTATCCAGGGGACTCCGCTGACACAGGGAAGGCAAAGGCATGTTGTCTGCAGGGCAGGTCAATGCAGATTTGACCTGGATGTAGCTGTCTTCTAGGGTAAGAATAGTGGGGCTTTTTCTTATTTCTAATTCCTTATGATCTTCCTGTTTTTCCCCGTGTATCTTGGAGAAAAGTAGCACAATCAGTATTTGGCTTATGTATATGCCTGCTACCCAGAAACATATATGATTGAAGAATAGCAGCGAATTGTGTTATCCCATTTCTTGGGTGCTTTGAGCGGCAAGATATTCAGCTGGATGGCAGATAAAGAAGAGAGGTGGTACGAATACGAGTTTTGCTTGCTTGCATACTTAAGCGGATATATCTTTCTGGATTATCTTTACTCCATTTTGCCAGTGGTCAAAGCACGTTGCCAGGGGAATGGCTTAGAAACCTGGAATCTTTCTTCAGCGCTATTTAAAATCTTGCAATTGGTCTCAGTCATTCAGCTGGAGAGGACAGGAGCCTCTCAACCCCATGTCTTTTTTATTTTTCTATTGCAGATGCTTTTAGGAAAGCATGCATAATATGTGTTACTCTCACCAGTTTTGAAGATGGAATAATGTAAAACTAGTAATATTTGACTATTTAGGAATATGGCAATGAGTGAAAATTCCGATACTAGTAAAAGCATAGCATGTGATTCTTAACATGTCTTTTTTCATGAGTTGTTTGATATCCTATTATTCTTACTGACATAACTTTGGGACAGTTGCTGCCAATATTGTCTGTGTTCTCTGACTACAGGGTTTATATTAAGCATGTTGAATATTTCAGTACTCTTTCCATAAATACTTCTTACAGTGGGAGTAAATTTTATTTCCACTGTGTTGTTGTTTTTCACTGCTCTTTACTATGACTTTTGTAATGAATTGCTGCTTCGTAAATCAAGCCTTTCTGGTGACACGCACTGCAGTACTTCAGATATATTTGAAGTGATCCTGATATTAAGAACTTGAACAATAAATACCATTGACACTAATTTGTTGTTGTATAAATGTTGATGTGGTCAAGTTTTTTCTTAGTCACCAAGTAACTATTTTTTAACTGTAGTGGGAAAAATAATTAATGTAACTGTTAATGTAGCTGTTAATAATAGAAACTTTGTGTTAGTATTGTATAAACAATGCTTTATGAGGCCTCCATTTTGGGTGGGTGTAATATTGGTGGTTTTTTAATTTCACATGTGCTAGAGTAAATTGGGAGTAATTCTAGTCAGGTGAAAAAAAAAAAAAGTTTAGAACTGATCTGTGCATGCTGTTCAGTGAGTGAGTGATGACTTTTATGTTTTATTCAGTGGAAAAATGCCAGAGGTGGATTATGTTGTCCTAACTGAATGGTTTGACTGGATCCAGAACAACACTGATGTTTCGGTTGATTTGATAGGTAAAATTTTGATGGGATCTGGAGGGGGGTGTTTGTGGGTGGGTTTCCTTACTGGAGGGAAAAAAAAAAAATCTTGTTTCTTGGGTCATATATAATCACATTATTCAGTATAATAGTGGTTGCAATGTGTAGCATCAGACAGCATGAATTTGTGGATGGTTCATGGACTGGTTAACGGTAACGCCAAAGGGGAGGTTCGGTGGCGGTACTCAGGTCGCATTCTTTCCTTCTGTAGTCTGTGAAGTAAATTTCTTCTTTGCTTTTAAAGCTTGAACATAACTATTGTAATTTTTGTTATGACAGTTTATCTGCAGACTTCTCCTGAAGTTTGTTATGAGAGGTTAAAGAGAAGATGCAGAGAAGAGGAGAAGATCATTCCTCTGGTAAGGAGTTCCTTCAATATATGTGGCTACAATGAGTTTTGAAAACATAATGATTCCAATCTAAATACTAAAATCACATTCTGAGTGTATTGCCAAAATGTGGTGCAGCTGTTTCCATTGCAGACTAAAACTTCACTATTTAATTTTGATTTGTTTTAAAGAAATGATCTATCATGCCCACTGACTTGTCTAAGTGTTAGTTCTAGTAATCAGTGCACTATAGGTGACTGTTTAGGTGAAGTATTAATCAACTGCTAATGTTCTCGAAGATGTAAAAAGGCAATTGCTTCTGTATCATTAAACAGCATAAAAGCACAAATACCTGTGTGTGCAGGTGCTGAATATTTATGTGGGCACTTTCTGTTGTCTGCTATTGCCAAGATGTGTATGCATGAAAAGTGTCTGCTTGTCTCTGAAAAGAAGCAACTGCTTGAAAATTGTTAGTGTGGGAATCTGCTTAAAAATAAGCTGTAATAATGGAATGATCACTTTCTGTGTCACAGTTTATAGAATGGCCCTTCATTAAACACATTTTTGCCTAAAGAAAGCCTAACCATAAATAAATGTAGTTGCAGAAGACGTACCATGTACTACAAGGTGTCTTTAGCGTTGGGTAGTTCAGAAGAAGCAATTGTCAGTTGAAGACATATGCAAAAAGCTAAATTTTAGGCCATGTGAAATTTTGCCTTGGAGAATAAATTCTTACCATAATGAAGAGACATTGTGTTACGTTCCAGCTCTACTGAGGGGTGGGGGGGAGCAATTATGAATGAAAAATGTGGTCTCCATGGAAAAAAACCTAATAGTTGATGACAGGCAGGAGTGCTTTTAGAGGAAATGGAGTCAGTTAGGAGAAAATGAGCTGGGAATTTTAGGAAAATGTATTGACACAAAAAGTGCCTTCAATACATTTTCTCTGCAGTCTTGCCCTTTTTGTCCTTATTTCTCTGTTAACATTTTTCCCTGTAAAATCTTGAGCCACATTATACCTGTGGGAGAGAAACATGGCTCTTGATCTTAAAAGGAGCTGAAAGCCCTGTGCTCCTGTAAGCTGTGTCTTTGACATTCTTCATGGAGTAAAACCTTATACTGGGAATTAGTTTTTCTCAGAAACCTTCTGATGCTTTTCATTTTTGTTAGTGGAAATATCCGATGTTGGCTTTTATATGTAGCTTTAACTACTTACCAGGTGTATAAAAATTGCAATGTGTATTCCATCCCTGGGCATAGGTGTTATTTGAATGCCTCTTTCCTAGGAATATTTAGAAGCTATTCACCAGCTCTACGAAGATTGGCTCATTAAACATACACTGTCTGAAGTTTCCTGCCCAGTGCTTGTGAGTATCATTTTAGTCATAACCAATTAAGCATATGGAGGATTGTACTTTTCAGGTATTAAGGGTGTTATTTAGTGGCAAAAGTAAATAAATCTGCTTTTATAATAACCTTTGGAGAAGGAAAACTCCAGAAAAATGTTTGCAGCTATCCACTGTGTATAGCATAAAAAGTGTGGTCTTCCATCTCTTGGGTGGAATTTGAGGGTCTGTTCACCATGATTGTTTGCAGGATCTGACATGCAGCTTTTCAATGAATGCCAAATTCTGAACAGAAAGCTAATGGGACAGATCTGTATGAGTATATCGATTTGCCTTCAGTGGTAGTCCTGTTCTATTTTGCTCAAAAGCAACCACGTTTTATGGTGTCAGTTATTTCTAATGTTCATGTTCTTCTTTTCAAGGTTATTGGAGCTGACCATGACATGCAGAAAATGATAGAAAAGTATGAAGAAAACCGGGACCAAATACTAAACCCATACAATATGCAACACCATTTATAGAAGTCTGCGGTTATTGTATTGTAAAAAACATGTTAATGCAGTCTGATTTGGGGGCGATTTTGAGTATTTTTAGTATTTCTAAATATAATGGTTTTGCTTTTGAATTATGCTTTGTAGAATGTTGTGGACTTACTGCTGTGAAATGTTGAGATACAAGTCATAAACAGAATATAAGCCAATTCCCTTTCATGTTTTTAGGTTCTCTGTCAGCTTTACTGTGTCAGTTCTATTCAGCTAAAATAGGACTATTTCTCCCATTTCCCACTTCACTGCTGCTTCCTATAAGAAAGTTCTTTTTTTTTTTTTTTTCCCCAAGACAACCCTATTTTTGTAATTTGAAAGAAATAGTTCCACACAAGAGGCGGAATGTCCTTTTTTATCATTAGAGGAAGCAAATGAAGTGCATCAAGTCAAAATAGCTTTGTTAAATAGGTCTTTTCAAGTTGAAACGGGGAGTCATACTCTAATCCTACCTACACTAGTGCAGTTTCATTGGATTCAGCAAGTCTCTTCTGCTTTACATGAAATCACAATATAGCTGTAGTTCTGAAGGTAACTATGCACTAGTAAAGTCCCACTGAATTCAGTGGCAAAAAAAGAATAATAGTGCCCGTAAGTGATTGTAGAAGGGCTCTGAGTCTTTTTATTAAGCTAGGTTTTTAAAATGGCTTATTTCTCTGTGGTGTTCCTGAGATCACTGGCCCTGCTATGGCTGAGTTAAGGACTAGTAAAAATACAGGGTGCACAGAACTGTATTTGTTGTTCCTTTCAAATAGTTATTAAAAACCCTAGAATTAATTGATTTCTTAAGTATTCTGGATTCTTCAGTTGTAGGGGGTTTATAAAGAAAAATACAGATGGTCTTTGGGTTTTTATCTTGATTAGTTTATTATGACTTACAGGTACTTACAGGAGAAAATAGTGGGGGTTTCGTTCTCGCACTTGTTAGCTAAAGTGTTGAGATGCCCTTAATTTCTGCTTTATGCTCTGAGTGTTGTCTTCAAGATAATCTTTTTAGTGCAGCAGTTCTGACTGTTTTCACATTACTTTTTCTGTTTAATTTGAGGGGAATGATTCCTGAAGTACAGTGTATATATATATATATTTTTTTTTTCCTGTACTGTTTTTGCTTGATTTAATTGGAGCATGCAAAGTTAACAGTGCTTTAAAATACATTTATATTAATGTAGTTGAGCGTCTGCCATAGCTTTGTAGTGAATGCTCCTAAAAATGGTTAACATCCAAGACTTCAGTTAGTATTTGATCACTTATTACGGACATTTGTCTGTAACTTGTTGGAGGATATAAATGTCCACTTACTTGGCTTTTCCATGTTCCACGTAATTTTGAACAGTATTTGATATTACTTTTTGGAGATCACTTCACTGCTTTTATTTGTAGTTTTGAGGTAGCTGGTTTTGTGGTGTGCCTAAAAATCATTGCATTGAAATGCCAGCACCATTTTCCAAGTCAAGAAATGCAGTTAATTTCTTGTAATTTCCATCTCGTGGGATTTTTTTGTGTGTTTTCCAAATCAGTAGAACTTAATAATGGTCAGTGCACTGAGAGAGCATTTCCTAGTGAAGTACTGAATTCCTATACTAAAGCTTGTGAACCCAGTATTGCCATTCTACTGTTCTGCTGTAAATCTTCAGAATTCTAGCTTAAAAATAAGATTTTTGAGTGTTAAGTAATTATGTTACTTATTGAAGCTTTTTTGTAGGGGGATAGTAGTTATTCTTAAAACCTTCTGTTAAACTTTAAATTTTTTTTTTCTCCTGTAAGAGACCAAAAGAACGTTTTCTTTGAAAATAGTTCTAGAAACTTGAAGTTCAGTCATCTGCAGTTTGTTCTTAATTCTAATTTTATTATGGGTTGTAGAAGCCAAGGATGTATATTTTGCACACGGTCCAGAATATATCACTTAGTTTTTCTGTACAGAGAATCATAACAGTGCTAAGAATCTCACTGTGACCTTTCAGCTTTTGAAAGAAATTTATGCTTTTTCGTCAGATTTCCCCCCCTTTAATATATCAAAACAGTAGTTTGGATGGAAGTTATTGATATTCATAACTAATGGAATATAAAGGAATAATTTATATAACTTATTTATTAAAAATCACAGATGCGGTGGTTATAGAGAGCATGTTTATTTTATGTTTTGGTATCTTTTAAATTTTATGTATAGATTTTAATGTACAGGAGGGTTGGGGTATTTAATGAATACTGGGAACAAAACCAAACAGGTTGCATGTAATGTGTCAGAAATGTAAAATGTTTAGTTTGCTATAGATGTGTAGGTAAAAATACGGCAGTAATCATAAATAGCTCTTTATAAGCCTGGAATTTATTTGCTTTTGTTTCTTGAGATCTCTCAATTGATGAGGGGAGGGAAAAAAGGGCGGTCAGCATTAGTCTGATACGTATTTTCTTTTATGACTGTCTAAGGAGCAATAATTGAGTAGCAAGTTCCAAAATACCATAGGCATTACTCTTGTTTCTTAGGCAGACTGAACTTCAGTACCAGTGGAATGGATAATAAAAAGTTGCTACTTCTCTTGGCTTTTAAGATGTGGTCTATAAGTTGGATGTAGCCAATACTTGTAGACTGAGCCATACAAAGCTGGTTTTGCATATGTTTCGGCTGTTCTGGAGTATATTGTAGGAATACAAGAGATGAGTAAAACTTGTGGGTATTAATTACTTTTGTCACAATGAGTTCTACATCTAAACTGCAGTATGTGTGAAAAGTGATTGCCTTCTGTATTGCCTTTTCTTTATTACATACTTAATCTGAATAGATGATTTCTTCTCCACGCAAGTCCTGGTCAAGGTGTCTTGGCAAATCTGGGAGCATCGTATAAATTGATCTGAAGTAAGATAGACATTCAATAGTTGCGTTATCTTAGCCTGGCCTTCTGTGTACTTTTCTTCTAGCATGGGAAGCATGTTTAGTAGATCTCCCCTGTTTGATTAAACATTTCAGAAGTGACTGTCCAAAACAGTAAATCTTAAGAAACCTTGAAAATTGTTTTCACCAGTTTAATTAGCACACAAAACTACTGCCAACACGGGAAATAATCCATCATCTCTCTTCAGTGCACTTCCTCCTGCAGAACCTGTAGGAAGTGCTGGGTATTCTGCCACCAGTTGCTATTAGAAGATTCATACACAAAGCTCTCGTCTCTCTCCTGAATAATGGTTCTTCTAGCATGTTACTGTCCTTGAAGATTCCAGTCCTTCCTGTAGTGTAAACTTTGTGGATTTCTAAAGCAGGATAGTCAGGTGAGAATTACAGTGGGTTGTTTGGTTTTTTTTGTTCCCCAGCATTGGAGGGGGCTGACAAAGTTGTGAGCTTTTTTTTGAAAATGAAGATTAGTTTCAGAACAAAAACTAGCGGTCAATTAATTTCTACATAAGAGAAATGTATTATTCTGTCTAGTCCAGATCAATTTTTTAATTGATCATTTATCATTTTTTTTTAAGAGGCTGGCATGTGATCATTATTTGTACTGTATCAGGATCAGAGCACCAATTTTTTAAGTGTTGTGTACAGAGGTTCGATAAGGAGAGTGACAGAATGGAGGAGCTGTTCGTTACCTGTCTGTTGAATACATACTACTTGCCTGTTTTTATGCCAGAAAGCTTTGATTTGAATCCTCTGCTCCACCCTAGAGCCCTCTGCCTGCTGATAGTGATACATTCCTCCCTCTCATACAGCACAAAAAGTATTGAGCTGTTAGAACTTCCACTGTGAGTATGCTGCTCTGCAGATGACACTATATTCCATCCCAATCCTAGTATCAGTTTTTTACTGTAATGCTGTGAAAAGGAGCCTTGTGGGGTTTAATCAGCTGTCTCAGAGAGCTGTGCCAATTAACTGCCAATGGGCAGGACCTTTAGCTGTGGTGGTGAGTTACTGGTGGTTATTCTCCCAGTGTTTGTACCAGTAAGGTAAAAAATGATAAAGCAGTGTTGCAGAAATTGTTTTTGTGTGGTGAGAGAGTTCTGAATGATAATCTTCATCAGTGCTTTGCAAGGCCTTGCCAGACCCTCTCAGGTGTGCTTTCTTTGTGTCTCAGGGAATTGTTTTTAAGATCATCATCTATAATTCTGAAGCAAATTGTAATTTTGTTTATTCATTTATGTTTGCATGCTTTCTAGTTGTGTGGTTTTTGTTGTTTTTTTTTGTCTTCACACTGAAATTTGGTTTTTATTCTTGGCTTTAAAAACAAGGTTTGTTCTAAAACCAAGCTATGTCTGTTGAGCGCCTTAACTCCAGACAGGGCAAGGGTGTATGTGTGATACGAATGTTAAGGGGGGGAAAACGACTATTGTAAGAGACCCAGTGGGGAGAGGTTGTGTGAGTGAGTATCACCCAGCCACCAGGTCTGCTGCCTGAGCCTGTGTCTACAGTGATCAAAAGAAAATTTCTCTAAGCCAAGGCTTGGGAGAGCTGAGCCATTTGGAGTGGTTGTGTGTAGCATATAAATTTGGGAATAGAATTGGCCTCATGTCTCTCTGATGGAAAGACATCCAATCAGTCACTAAATCCCCATTCAATTCACAGACAATCAGGACCAGCTGTAGCACAATTAAAGTTGACAGCTCACCAGAGGATAAGCACAGATTTTACAAACACAAACCACCTTCCTTTAGAAAGGGGCCCAGGCACCCCTCTTGCTGGCTAGCAGTGCTTGCTTGAGTGGTTGCTCTAATTTAAGTCAATTAGTCAAGGAGAGGGGCAGTGGTTATTACCAACAAGGACATGAGGGCACTGGCAGATGGGGTCAGAAATCCTACATTCCCTTTTGTCTGTCTCTCAGGTCTGACTGTACTCACAACTAGGATTTTAAACTGAATTCCACCTTACTTATGTGGAAGCAGTTGCACAAAGGACTGCTGCCTAAGGCCTATTAAATATGACTTCTCTTATTTCAGCTGTTTTTCAAATCCGATCTCTTCACAAGCATCTTTAACTGTAAAGCAGTTGTCTTGAATCCCTGGAAATTTGCAAATACAAAAGTAGTTTACTCAAAACCCTACCATTTGTACAAGAAGAGAAGTATTCTTGCAGCAGTAACAAACTCAGATGAAAATACCTAGAAGAGTTAAAGTGCGCAGAAGCTCTCCCTGCAAAGGCAGACATGACACTTTACCAGTCCTGGCCAATCTGCCGTAACGAGGAGGTTCTTCCTTAATGCAGGTGCTCAAAATAATAACAAAAAGGAGATTCTCAGAACATGGCATTTTATATTTAATAAATTTTGTGCAATTCAGCTGTTTGTTTGGTGGGCATTGTTCATCATTATGATCTCCAACAGTGTTCCTGTGACTTGGAGCTGTGGACAGTGGTGCACTGTTAGCACATTGGGGCTATGCTTCCTTTCTTCTGAAAGACCCTCTGTGTATTTTGCTTCCCCCATGTGAGCTTGTTCTTAAGCTCCTTGACAGGGAAGATGCTGCTTCAAAACTCTGCTCAAACGGGTGAAGATCTATGTCTCCTGTATGCCAGGTACCATAAAGATGGAAGCAATTGTGCACAGGCCCATCAGGGGAAGTTAGTAAAGATTTAAGAGTGTTTCTCACAGTAAATGTTAACAGAAGAAGTTTAATGAAGGTCAGCTGTATGGCATTAATGGAGTCAGATTCCCCAAATGGTGTCTTTCAAGTGCTAGTCTTTAGTTTCTTTTTGTATTGTTTTTTCATGTGTAAGCTGCTGCTCTTAAATACTTTTCCTTGCATGGCTACAGTTAAGATAAAAAGGGGATGTTAGGTATATGAATTAGTACTGGTAATAATCTAAATACTTAGGAGACATCATCATTTGTGATGAGATGGGGTTTTTACAGTTTTATATTAGCATTCCCAAATAACTGACACGAGATTTAAAACACATAACTTTAATAACCCCCACAGGGGGAAAATATAGCTTATAAATGGTTAGGCAGGACAGGTAAGTACTTGAAAGAAGAGCAAGGAGGTTGTGGGGGTTTGACCCAGGCAGCAGCTAAGCACCTACACAGCTCCTCTTCCCCCCAGCAGGATAGGGGAGAACAGGAAGAGCAAAATCAAGACAGTTTTGGGGTTGAGATAGAGGTTTAGTAACTGAAGAAAAGAGGGAGAAAAAAGCCAAGTGATGCAATGGCAGTAACTCACCACCTCCCACAAGCAGACCAATGCCCAGCCAGTCTTTGAGCAATGGTCACTTTGGTAGACAAAAACCTCTACGTTCTGCTACGTGTTTTATTGCTGAGCATGATGTTACATGGTAGGATACAGCCCTTTGGTCATTTCAGCTGTCCCAGCTGTGTTCTCTCACAGTTACTCACTGGAGAGTGGTACATACAGTTAAAAAAAGAAAGCTGTGACATTGTGCAGGCACTCCTCAGCAACAGCCAGAACACTGGTGTACTACAAACAATTTTAGCCACAAATTCCAAACACACCGCCCCCCAGGGGCTGCTAAGAAAGTTACCTCACTCCTAGTCAGACTCAGTACAGAAGTATTAATTTGTGTATGCATGTTCGTGATGTGTTTGTCCCAACCCCACCTAAAGCTGAAGGCAGTCATGTCACTTGCTGTTAGCTTGGTCAAAGTCTTATTCCTCCTGCACCGCTGGAATCAGGTGATGACAGGACTTTAGTTGTTCAAGAAGCAGATCTTTATATTTTAGCTCCTGAGGTTTTTCTAGTGTAATCCATGTGCTCCTCTTTGAGTTTTGGGGAGATGAAAGTCAATAATAAGCAATTTGCACTAAATTTATTTCAGCTAATATTTTAACTGTACATGAAACAACAAAACATTCTTAGCATTGAAGTGCTACTGGAAGAGCTACTTGAAGCAGTATTAAACTGTCTTTCGAGGTAACAAGTATATGACGAAGCATTGAAGATTGTGCTGAAATAAAGCACCAGTGACTATGTGCTTTTCTAAATTTAATTAAATGTTGTGTATGACAGGTTCTCAATGCTGGGACTCCAGCTTACTGCTGACCTGATCTAACAATACTGCTCCCTTTCCTTCTCAGCACACTGCTTTCCACACAGCACTCTGTCCTACATGATATCCCTTATCCCGGCTCTAATGCTCACCAGGACCCTTCTCTGATCTGATTTTTTTTCCTACCTGTAAGGAGGCAGAGAATGGCAGTTTCTTCCCTCCATTTCAGTAGTGAGAGGAAGAGGCCTACAGAAAAGTCCAGTGAACCTGAGCTGGTGCAGGGTTAAGTGGCAGGAACAGGGTCTCCCTCTTCTGGCAGCAGTGAATGATTACAATGCTCAGTGCTTCTCTTGAAATTTGTGGCGATAGCCATAAAAAATTTTGTTAACAAGTGGAGACAGGTGTAAAACCTGTAATACAGGTTATCACCTCTATAAAACCCAGGGTGTTCACAGCTCTGTTTTCTTCTTTAAACCTAAAGGAATGTTATCAAACTTCCAAAACTTATTTTCAGCTGTAAACAGGAGCAAGATTAGTTCAGAGCACAGCTTCATAGGAATGTAATGACTTAACAGAAGTACACTCCAGTATAGCATTTGTAAACTTATAAAGTTGGGTCTTCCAGTTTAGAAACATTTACCTGTTTTTATCATTGTACAGCATGCTATACTCAGAGTACACCAGGAATAGGTATATAAAACAAAAAAAAAAACCCAAAACCAACTCAACTGAGGAAACCTGTCTGGCATTAAGTACAGCCAGAAGGAGGAACCTGACTAATTAATTAAATGGATTTAAATTTATGGAAGTTGCTTATGCTTTAGAAAGGTGACCATACAGGTTTCAGTGCCAAAGGTTCCAGATGAGAAGGGGCCATTAAGAATTTGCTCAACTACATCCCAGTTTTTTGCTGTCCAAAAGCAGTGGGCTTTTTGGTTTTGGCTTTTTTTAAAAACTTCTGTCAAAGCTAATCATCTCCTTGAAAAGATGATCAAGGCCACAAGTGAAAGGAAGAAATTCAGGCATAGTATAAATAAAGCACTGGTAGAATCAAGTGTGATGGCATATCATTCCTTCATCAGTTTTGTCAATAATGACATAAGGCTCCTGAATTTCATTTACTTTTGGATTATAGTCCTCCAGATTTACTTCACTGGATTCGGGAGAGTCACGTTCAGGCTGCAAGAAGTTCCTCCTGCCCTGTGCACTGGTCCTTCTTATGCATGAAGACCGAACATGAATACTTTGTGGTGGGATGTAGGTGAGGTTAGGAGGCTCTCTGACATGTCTGAAGCCCTCAGAAGCTGTATGTGCATCAAGAGTACCCATTAACAGTCTCTTGCTATCAGAACCAGCTGTGGGATCCTCCATGTTCCCAGTAGTACAGCACAGATCTGAAGATGGCTCAGTATGTACAGCTGCTCTGTTCTGCATCTGAGCGTTAGTCAGATGTGTGTGTTTTATTTTGGAATGATTAAATTCTCTGACATGCCTGTCACTTGTACTTGCATATGATACTGACTCAGGTTGGCCAGTTTCCTCTACAGGATACATAAGGTCTTCCTGAATGTCCTTGATTTGGAGTTTTGTGAAGGTTAAAGACAGCTCACAAACTTCCTCTTCCCTAGGGCCACTGCAGTTTTGGACAGATGCAATGTCCTTGTATGGCAGAGACTTCAGCTCATTGGGTTCATCTGCAGGGTCTGAGTCTGTGCAATTTATGGCATCGTTAATTTCTGCTTCAATTGATTCTTCGGGGACTTCTTGAGCTTTGTACTCCAAAGTGTCTTTGCCATCACAAGAACCGTCAGCAAATATTGCGAAGGCTGGCGGACCACTTGCTCCTGGTGAGAGTGGCACAGGCCTCATCTCATTTGCAGTTGACTCTGCAGCGACTGCCAAAACACATTCTTCACTTAAACTGGCTCTTGGCTTTTTTTCAAAAGCTTTTGGAGGAAGATTCTCACTGAAAATAGGTGTTTGTCTTATGACAATGTCACTATATTTGATCAAGAAGTCCTCACTGTCTGAGCATTTGCCCGGAAAATGTACGGTGTTAATGACTTGCCTTTGGTGTTCCTGAAGCCTGTTAGTGGATTGAGTAACTGCTAACTGAGGCATGTCATCTTTGATCTTCAGATTCCCAGCAGTTTCAAAGGATATATCACTGTTAGCTGAAGACTTCTGTTGAGTAGCAAGGCACAAAGATGTCTCACTGTTCCCTTTATTTTCTAGATTTTCAGTGTCTTCTCTCTGGGGTGTCTGATCCTCTTTGTCTTTATCTCCATGATGCCAGTGTATTTGTGTTCTTTTCTGTAGAGTCTTCTCCAAATTGCCATGTTTTTCTTCATTTGTCATTTCGAGGATGGTTTCACACTCCATTCTTGCCAGGAATATTTCAAATGCAGTCTGCTTTGTTTCCTCATTGTTTCTCTTTTTGACAAGTGAAAACTCTGTTGCTGTTGTTGCAATGTAACCTATTTTCTCCAGTACTGTTTTTACAATGTCATCTGGGAGCACAGATTGAATATAGTAGACAAAATTACCGGTGAATGTCTGAAACAGAATGCAACATTGAAAAAAAAATATGAACGCTGGGGGGCGGGGTGGAGGGAAGCAGGAAAGACTTCCTAAAAATCAGAAGTACTTCAGAAATTACTTAAGTTTCTAAAAAAACCTATGTTCCTAAAAGTGTGAATTTTGAATCAAAGTGCATGAGGCTTTTCTATCAGCATTATTTTGTCAGCCTCTCAAGCATTATAGCTTTGCATATTAATTTCTGTGAAGTTATGCCAGTTTAAGCCTGCTGAGAATAGTGGCTAACAACATCAATACTCAAAAAGGAGAAGAGTAAGAAAAACACTTTAGTCACAGTATAAAAACTCAGCAATAAGTCTTATGTGATCTACTGAAGAACAGCAGTATTTTTAAAACAAAGATTCATAGAATAAATCACTGAGGTCTAATATTTTCCTAAAGAAACAGACATGATGCACTCACCATTATCTCTATTTCTTAACTGGTGACAAGACTAACATTTTTTTTTTCTATGGTTCAGACTCCTGTTCTGTTGTAACTCTACTACCCCTGAATTAAGTTGACATTTCTCTGAAAGCACCTTTCTGAAGGGAAACTATTCTAGCAGAAATACTGCCCAAACACGCTCTCTTTGCACAAGCTGTCTGTGAAACGTGACTTGAATAAATGCTGCTTCTTTGGCCCAATTAAAAAAAATGTTCAACATTTGCTTGGTTTTGGAGCTACCCCAGGCATAAGGCCTATTTTGTAAACTGCAAGTGGTTTTTGTTTTTTGTCTGAAACGTTATGAGAGACTATACTGACCTAATCATGACCAACTCCAGGCAAGTCAGAACAGAATGGAGGTAGAAGTGTAAAGTCCAGACTCCCAGAATCAGGGTGCCTTATTTTTAGGCTGCCCAGCTTGAGACTGCCTTACCTACTTCCTAAGGCTGAAACCTAAGCATTGGTCCCACAAGCACAAGCTTGAGGGAGAGGAAAACGGATCCCCAAAAAAGCCATTAACCTAAAGGATCATAGCATAATGTAGCACTGAGCCTCAGTCCATTCTCAGATAAAGTTGTCAACAGTGCCTTTCACTCCCCAGCTTCTGTTCCTTCCAGGGGGGAAATAAGTAGCAGGCACTGCAGGGGACAATGACATCAGAGCAGGTGAGAGGCAGGAAATATGTGAAGCATTATTCTGCATATAATTCTTTTATCAAACCTCCATGTACACAAGATACTGGTTCTCCAACTTGTGCCTTGCTGTAGAATTATTTCAGGCCTTCCGCAAGCTGTCTAGCACTTTGGATTACTCACAGTGGTCTTCAAAATTTGATTTTAATGCTTAGGATTCTTGTCTTATGAAAAGCTGAGCCTACTAACTGTAGACCTGAATAGCTTACGCTTTGTCCTGTTTTAGGGAGATGAATGAGGAGAATAGGAAACTACAGCTGTTTGAGAATCTGCAGACAAGACTTAAGGGCAAGAAGAAGGAAAGAAATGGCTTTTCCTCCCCAGCACCTGTTGCTGTAGGAAGGGAAATGATTGGATTTTGGGTGTTCAGGGATGTTGTTTAAATACAAGTACATTTTGCATGTATTCAAGATTGCTGTCTCTTCTGGGCAATGACATGTTCAGTGTGCTAGAGATGAGGGGGTAACCTTGACCACCTTGCTGCAAAAAGCAGCATTTCCTCTTCTGAAGGGGGGTTTCCTACCCACTTCACCAGCTGCAGCCACTAGAGCTAGGATTGGAGGTAGAATCATCAGACCAGAGAGACACTGCCCACCTGGCCTTTGGCATCAAACTGTTAGTAAAAGTGATAACTAATGCTAAAATCCATCCCCTCTCTATAGGTAAATTAAGGTTAAAACTCGAAGTAATGAGAGTCTAAGCTTCTCATTGTACCTTTTTATTTCTCTACCGTCTCACAATAACCAAGGGTCTCTATTTCCAAATCCCTGAACTGCTCAGCGCTCCTGGGAAGGCCTCTGAGAGCCCGTCCTCGGCGAGGACGAGGCCAACGAACACCTGCAACCGCTCCCGGGCATCCCATATCTATTCAAAATCGGCTCCTAAACGCTGCCTGTAACTCCCCGGGCCGCGGGTGCCGCTGCCGGGCCTCCCACGTCACAGGCCCGGGAGAGAGGCCTCGAAACCCCGCAGCCTCCAGGCCCCGCGGCCGGCTGCGCCCCCCGCCCGGGCGCCGCAGCGCTTCCCTACCTTCAGCGACCTGATCTCCTTCCGCCACGGGGAGAGGAGCAGGTTGACGCAGAGCAGCTCCAGCACCTCCAGCGCCTTGAGCCTGTCTCTTTGCAAGTGT